ATCTTGTACTCTTACTTATTCCTAGCTCTGAACCATTGGATTATATCATTTCTCTGATTTGTTCAAATGAACGCTTCTCTGACCTTTGCTTTTTCTTTCCCATTTCTCACTGTTCTCAGCCCCAGCGTCTCCTCTGTGTTGCTTGATGCCGCTCATAGTTGTAAGTTTTCATATGGATTTATGAGACAATGCTACATTTTCAGGAGCCATTGTGTGCTCCAAAACCAGGGGGCAACATATCAACTATATGCGTCACTTGAATGAAGATTATTGGTTCTCCCTGGATGGCAAAACTCTACCTAATCCCCCCATTTGTTTCAAGATTTTCATCAGAGAACTGGACACCGGTTGGATCATAAGAATCGCTCTAGGCAATTGAATCGACCACATTTTTATTACTTGTGCCTCATCGATCTTCTTATATACGAAAACTTTTTACTTCTAATGTTTTTCATCCCAATCAATCACACTCAATCACATTGGCTTGCACATCGCAAACCAACTCTGCGCACGTTGAATAAGCTAGGCCATAGAAGTTGCTATTTCCGACTATCGCAGCTTCCCTCCTAAGGACTACCACAGTTCCCGAATTCGGGATGGCTTCCTCGAAGATATGAAGTAAGTACTTCGGGACCTAGGGTTATGCCCCAGCATGCCATTTGCTTGCTACACAGTTTCCGAAGCCCGGCTGTGTTTCTCAAACTCCAATTACTTCTGGCCAAAAAAAAAACGGATGTGGGTTTTGAAAAAATGTAGAGCGAGAAGGCTACAAAATAGAACGACCCTTGGAACGACTTTTACCCTTAGTGGGTGAAGAAAAAAACTGTCCGCCTGAGAGTCTACGATATTTCCAGGATTTTTTCTCATGATGTTTGTTTGTGCATGCCAGAAAAAAACCAGACAGACTTTGCCGTGTTTTCCCGTCTACTGGACGACATTGCGATAAGGTTGTTGACTAGACGCTGACAGTAAAGGGCACTGTCTGCGACATTAATAAGAGGATAGTGGGGAACGCACACCACCTCTAGTCTCACCGTAGAATGCCGAAGAACCTTGCTCGAATGCGATTGAACACTGACCCTTAAAAACTCGGCTCGTTGATGGCATGCTTCTGCTAGTTGTCCTTCTTCAGCACATAACATCCGCTTCCCATCATTCACGCTTATGTTGAATAAAGAAACGGTGCATGTCAAACGGAGACATAATGAGAAACCATTAGGAACATGACGGTAGCACACTGCTTGTTGATGATGTTAGCGAAACCCAACTCTATGTTCACGATTCTTTTCGACCGTGTAGGTGTATTCTATACTACCGATGGCTTTCTCCCATGATATAGCTGTTTATGTTCATTTTCAGCAGCGTTGCGTACATTGTAATA